GACTCGCATGCTAAAAACATGATGATCGATCACAGTTGATATTTCTATACGCATCCAAGTACTTCGAATCGTAACGATTGTTGAATGCGTTATCAACTGGGGTCACGTCCGCGTAAATTTTACAACGGCAACATTCCTCGTGTCTGTGTTCGGATGCTTTTTTTTCGATAGAAAGTTTACCCTGGCCCTTCGTTGTTTGCCAAGCTTAGCTCTCCAAGAAATTTCATTATTTGCATAGACCGACACAGTCGCCGAAGATGAACAGTAGGTACTAGCTAAACGTTAAAACATTGCTCGAACATAATTCTGTTCCTTTCTAAGCTGTCTTGTATCTGCCACAGTTACCGCTCTCCCCCCAACACGGCGTGAACTGCCACGGTCGAACTTGCTCGTCTCAGCTTTCTAGCCAAGACAGAACAGTGCAAGCGCTGATCACGGCAACTCCTCGATTGGAACAATAATCAGCCCATACCGGGGTGACGGCAGTGACAGTACTTTTCATCAGCGTTGTATTCCGTATGTCTTCGTTATCTAGTGAGCGTAACCGTGCGTTCGATAACAACGAAGCGAAATTCTGCCCCAATGGCCAGTGCGCACCCTTTGCCTGCTGCTCCCCTAGCAGAAAAACGATCGCGCTCTTTCTTTCCCGGTTCGCTTACATCTACCATTTATCATCCTTGTTACAATGTTAGCTTAGACTTTTAACGAAGAACCTTGTCTCCATCTTTCTCGACCCCTCTACTTGACTGCAGTTTTGTCAGTTTGCTATCACCTTTTTATAGTCCGCCGAGCTTGATCTATTCCTATTCCCGAGTGTACATTATTTTTTCCCCTCTTCGCGCTGTTGGCTGCGTAGCTCTCAAGTCCTTTGTATTCCTGATACGGCTGCCGCGACATCGAGGTGGCGGCCAAGGGGGCTACTGATTTGGCCGGTTGTGCGATCTTAAAGACAAAACGCAAACAGTTTAATATTCTTTGCTGGCGTTCTTTTTGCTGAAACGTTATTGCTAAAAGGAGATAGACTAGCGCGATAGCAACAGAGACGATAAGGGGACACCAACAACAACGACGACGACGACGACGCATTGTATAACTCCCGCAGGAAATGGGACATTTCGGCCGGTTCCGAAGTCTCCCATCAGTAAAATGAATGCGGAAACAATCTGAGAGTGAAAAATGGAGTGAAAAAGAAATTGAGCATGTCGTATCCGGCACGAGTATGCAAAACGAGTCAAGTGAAAGAGCAGCTACGAGATGATGCATCAAGGCTAAGGACGGCGCAAGCGGCCAACTAGCACCTCAGAAGGGGTGGGCCTCGTCATGGGGTCTGCGTTTTTCCAATACCTGTCATAATATACATAGTAAGTAACGATAGTGAAGATAACATAGTTTTGGTAGTATCTACAACTACGACTACTTCGATGGAGACCACACGAGCGAGAGAATAAAGGTAAGCTGATGCAGCTGGCGCAAGAGGCGCGGCGCCATTAACCAGTTCTGGCAAGGAGAAAATGCCCACACACAAGGGCTAGGCAAAGGAGCGTTCTCTTGAGGAACGCGAGCACCAAGCCAGCAAAAGCTATGTTGACGAGCGAATACACATACGCATTCAGGCTCAAGCAGGAACGAAGATGTCAATGCAGACGTAAGAGGAAGGCGAAAACGAAAAAGGAGATCAACTTTACGACTGTCCGAATTGGCCAAGTTTCCTGAACGTCCGACTCACTTCGCTATTCGAAACAATCATGAATGCAATAACATAAACAGGCGGAAACAAGGTAGCCAAAATAAATAACGATTGAGGAAGCAAAAGTGTCGGAAAACCAAAAAGACTGAATCCCGTACGAGACTTTAACAGCAACCTGTTTATTTTTGGGTATCAAATAAAAAGCGAACCAGTATACGAGTAGCTATATTGCTCTGGAAGTCCATCATGCGCCTCAGACGTCGATGCAGCAGACGGACAGCCGTGGTGGACCGTTGAAGTCGACATTTTATGGTCCCAAAAAAGTTCTGGCTTCCTGGCCCAACTTAGAAATGGGTGTTTAGCATGTGGTTGGCACAAACAAGAGAAGGCAATGTATGCATTGAACTTAGAAAGGGTCTTTCTACGATGTCACATAACCAAGGTTAAATTGCTTTGTGGGTGCGTCGATGAATGGCGAAGCGCTAAAATTGGCGGATGACTACGAAAAACAACTTTATAACTGTAACGTATTTTATTCATACGTTATGTAAGAGTTACGGTATCAATCTTGATTGCTATGAGATTCGTACGATATACCATGGAGTAAACGTTATCGGGGAAATCGCCGAGGAAATTTTGATTTATAAGTGCCAGTCGGAACTCAGAATGGTACCGACCCGTAATGCATCGATACTGATGTCATTCAGTGACCAAGGAACGCTATATACTTCTACGCTTTATTGTATATATGAACGTTGTCATTATTGTTTTTGGCATCCACTTAACGGATTTTCTAAGCATCCAGCCAGGCAGCCATCTCGCACTCGTTACAAGGTTACGTATACATTCGTATAGATCCGAAGCTCGGTGGCTATGTTTAAGTCGAACGAGGTGCACGACAGTCAAAAGAAGTACTTACAGGGTGAAATCGCTGTTTGTGAAATGCTGTTTAGGTGAAAGTAGATTTTCCTTCTTCCCCCGAGTGGCCGAATTTAAATGCACTGCTTAGAGCTTTTCTGCCCTCCTGCTGAGTATCGCATGTGTCGTTTCGTCACCGCTGGAGTTTAGCCCCTGGTGCCCGCACGTAGCCACAAGCACCCTCCATCTGGTTTCCGTGCACAGGACCGTTGCGTCAGCGCAAGTTTCGACGTGAGAATTTGGGAAGTCACGCAATGGGTTCTGTAGTACTAGGAGTTCTCTGTTATCCTAACAATAAACCAAAGAAAAAAAGGCGCCGGTTGACGGGATAGTCTTACTACGATCATGGCAATAAAGTAACAGCCGCCTTACTCAAGGTCTTCGTGCAGACCTTCGCGAAGGGATTCTCTGTTAGCAACCACTGTCACCAAAGTGGAAATGTCGAAGTCGTTTCTCCCTTTTGCAGATCCCACCTACCGCCGTCGCCGTCACCCCTGGGCCCGCCTTTCCTCCGAGCGCTGTCGGGTGAATCCTTTCTATCTCTGTTTTTCTACTCGTTTCTGCATCCTACCACTGTTTAGGCTAAGCTGAAAACCATGAATGTTTTGGCTTGAGTTTCTATATTTTTTTGCGATCTTCTATATCTTTCGGTGTCAAACAACATTTTAGACCGAGATTTATTACTATTTGATATAATGACAAGTTAAGCGTATTCTTTGCTAAATTAACGCCATTTTATATGCTCTGCCATGCATATTGCTGTCATTCATATAGAATGGCCGGAAATGATTACAAAGTTGATTAGGCAAGAACTTGTTGTAGATATTGAGCTCCGAACCTTAAAACTTAATATATATGATGTAACACATTTTTACCTCTACATACGTGTATCCACTAGATCGTAATAATCTATAGGACATAAAGGACGAGAATTCGCTGCGAATTGTACAAAACAAACACTTTAAAAATAGGTTGTGTAAACAAAAATCCAAATTGATGTATAGTCTATACGTCGATTTATTTTAGCTCAGCCAGTACAATATCAGTACGATCGCCATCCGCGACTTGGGTGTTGACGCTAACAGGCGTACAAAAAGACAAAGAAAGCTAGTTTTTATAATGTGGCCAAAAGCGTCCATATTTCGCCAACGACACACATGCATCCCCACCTGGTTTGCCTCAGTTACTGCGTCTGTGAAACAAGCTTGGTGCTGTTGGCAGGGTAGAAAAAGCAGGTCGACAGTCCAGGGCACCGGTAGCGGGCGAACAAGCGAGTGTATTAGTTGCGACTGAAACGGCCACGCTGCTACTTTCAATTAGGGTTACCCCATCTCTGTTCCCTTGTCTAACTAAGCCCTAGTTAGCTATTCTCAGCCTTGAAGAGGCACAGGCACGGCTAGCAAATGAAAAGCCAGAAGCCAAAACCGTTAGCGCTTGAAGTGCTAACAGTCCTGCAGTCGTCGGCGCCGTCTGAGGACAGCGCTAGGTCGAACCCCGGCGCTGGAGCTTCTACTATTGACACCTCACCAACAGTGACAACAACGACAATAGTCTTAGCATGAAAACTGCCTCAGGAGAAGAATGGCTCTCTAGTCTAGAAACGCTGCCTCGAAGATGGTGAAGGGCTGACTGCCATTCTCGCCTTCGACCCAACAGCAGGTCGGGACAACTTTTACAGGGACCGTATGAGAAAAAATGCGCTGGAACGGATGCAAGTATCTTGTTATTAGTGGTACTAAATAAACAGGAAGATACGCGCGTGTCTGAATTATTCCTTTCTAATTTGAGATCGTTTAGTAAAACAAACTGACAAGCAGGATCTTTTTCATATCTATCAATAGGCATTGGGGAATTATTGGGAAAAGTAAAAATGGGCTGGGAGAATATGAGATTTATTTCATTCAATACAATTGAACCAGAAAATGTTATATCATAGATCAAGTGCGCGTACGTGGAAATCACTTCTATAATTATAATTAACGAAATTGCGAATGGATAATAATCGGCCTTGCCAGCGAGATCCGATGGCTTTACCAATTGGAGCTACGGAACCTCAACATATAAACTTGTAACAACAACGCCACATTGAGAAGTTCTTTTTATTTGAAAGATACTTAGTTAATGAGATGAAAAGATATAATCAAACAAAATCTTTGCAGGTCGGTTTGTTTTTAATTTTAGTGAAAATAATATTTTCGAAATAATTTTAGTGTAATTGACAAGTTGATCTTCAGCTCGTAGGCGTCGACCTCTTTTTCTATTTCCAGCATAAGTTAGACTGTTGATTCCTATTACTGTTACTGTTGAAAAATAGTTTCACTCTTGTAGAGGGAAATAGATCCTTCTAGTTTATATGAAAACTAAAAATTTCCTCTGCTTACGACGCTATTTGTAGACAATCTAGAACGTCAGCTGGAGAACATCCATGGCATTGTTCCATTAGAGCGTCGTAAGTCGAAGCTGGGTCGTTCAGCGAGCCGGGCCACGGATCACGGTGGGCGTATGAGTGTTGTTAACGAATCTGAAGGAGAGATCTCGTACGAAAGTGATGGTTCGGAGACTGATTCTACTAGAACTGGTGAGTATTTACACACAGACTTCACCGACAAGGAATCCGCTTTTACAATGATTTCATAGAATACTGCTAGAAAGAATAATGGAGATTGATAGTTCAGCGAAATACACTACACAAATAAATAATTTTACGAAACGAGGTATTTTTATGTTCTAAAAAGCCATTTTTATATGTAAAAAGAGACATTTTTGTTTGCATTGACATTTAAGTTCAATCAATACTACACGTCACTACAACAATCTAACAGTTTCAGGCGCAATTGGCTCGATTTTCAAATTCAAATAAAATACTGGCGTCTTATCCCTTATTACACAATAGCATTTAAAATGCCGCTAATTAACGATAAAGTTAATAAAGCAAGAGATTGTTAAAGTTCACAAAAATATAAACTTTTAGGCGTGAAGTATTCGCGAGAAATCTACTTCTAACAAGAATCAAACTCGGGTTTAGTTTAGGCAAATACCTGAATCTGTCTTCGTCTGACACGATTAACTAAATATGTTTAGGAAATAATCCATGATTAAAGTTTCCATATGTTTTCATGGGTGATCTTGTTCCATTACGTACAAACGTGTAAGGCAAGTGACTTTTTGCACTCTGTATGCCCTATTTCGTCATCCTATTTCCGGATCCTTCAAGCTTTCGGTAAAGTTAGCCCGAAAATATTTTCTGTGCAAGGTTCCTGCTAGTATCTCTTGTGATCCTTGTTCCCTCTGTCGGGACGAACCCATCTGTATCGGCATGCTTTGTTTGTATCAAATGGGAATGTATAGCACGATGCCCCACTTTGCTGTTTCTAGTTCCTGGATTGAGGGCATAATGCTCTTTTTCTCTTGAGGGTAATCCTTGTAATCCCGCAGAAGCTTAATCGCTGGACTGTACCCCTATCATAGATAATATCCAGTTCGTAAGTAGCTCTGAGCATCTCTCCCCCATTCACCGGAGCAGCGCCGATTAATGCGATGGTATGGAGCCGTTTCAGGACTCGTACGTCTATTAATTATATATCGTGTACCTTCATGCTAAGAAAACCTGGCTAAATCAAAGTAACTAACAAAAGCAGCTGCCTCTCATTTGTAACATCATTTAAACGGTTCGCGTTCAGAAGGGAACGTATACTTGAAAACGCATAACCAAGCGTATGCTGGCCACAGCTCAACGTACCCAGAGCCCACCGCTGGTGGACGTTAATGCAGTTACCGTAAAATAATCGGCTTTATACTGTGTCAGTCAGTTGTTTTTACGAAGATCATTAAATCGATGCTAAATTGTGAAAGTTCAATCATTTGAAGTTACCTTACCAAAAGAGACGCATCTCGCCGTCAGATTTGATGCTTAAGTTAGTATCAAACAATGGACTTTCGTATGAGAAATAGCTTTAAAAGCATACATTTCATACTATGGTAGGTATAAATGCGTGAACGACTAGGATACATTTAGAGTTAATTATTTTGCACACTTATACAAGATACATAACGGACCATGCCTATTTGAATTCTACACTTTTATGAGTACGACTATATTTTGTGCATTATAATTATGTTTTAAGTACATTTAAATACATACATTTTATTAAGATTTCTTGTATCTGTAAATAACAACACATGGCGAATTACATCATATATACATTACATGTCTCCACATAAGCGCATTGGTGAATATCCTACATTAGGACCAAACGAGCACCGAATACCAGATATATGCACATGAGATTCACAGGAGATGTACCAAACTGCACATCGTAGCAGTCCAACATGGAAAGTAAGGGATCCTAGGATATAATTATAGAAATATTCGGCGCTAATTTAATTACTACAATTGTAAGTGCTATCGTTATTCTGTTATTCTATATGCTATCTCTCTTATATATATATATATATATATGTAGTAATGAAGCTTCGTTCAATCCCATTGTCGTGAGTGACGAACAACGTCAATCAATTCATGATGATGACTGTTGCTATCGCCGTTCTTCGCATCAAATCCATATTACTGAGTGTACTTCGGAGACTGACGTGCCGCGTGAATAGTTTGGCCGCCGTCGCGGTCTCACTTGCTGCTTAATCAATGGATGACAAACGATCAATGGATCCACCCACTCACCAAGGAGCCACCCACAATGAGCCATTTCTGTAACTGCGTCATTTGGCAGTTACTGGGGCACGCCATAGGCGCGTCGTCGTTGCAAACAGCTACCTCGAATCCCTCCTATGTAGTAGTGGCTGTAAAATAAGGAGGCGCCAACAAGCCGGAATCGAGAAGCAGGCGAGCGATGCCTTTAGCATAAAAGAGCAAGGGCCTGATCTTTGATCGATGGGCTAGCGGTCCTGGATGACGGTTGAATTCTTCTCGGATGCGGTTGAAACGTTTCAGTCGCCTTGGTAGACGCCGGTGTTTATTGATCGGCATCATCAGCCACATCTTCCCTGTTTTACATCTCGCGTTAGGAGGCTTCGTTTCCCAACTACGTGGCATGTTCTACTTTAACGTCGACCCTTGTCTATTATGTTAGTACAGACTGGCTGACTGGTCTTCTCTTGAAACCTTTTTCGAAGAACGGCTAACCAAAAGAAGATGACGCCGGAGACGTCGGTAAGAAGGCAGGTGAATGCATAACAGGCCACAAATCAGGATTTTCGTCCGGTTTGCCTTTACTCTTCCCCTCTTTCTGGAACCAATGACTTGCGTAGGCCTGCCTTTCAAACACCGCCATCGGAGCTGCTGCCTTTGGCGGACTGTTTGTATCTTGGCAGGCCGATTGCAGTTGTCTGCCTTTTCTTTGTTGTGCTGGAAATGAGGCGGCCGCCACGGTAACGGTGTTACTGCTGCTTAAAGGAAGACGGAGAAGCCGAACTCTTGTTCTACACGAATAGGGGCCTTTCAGAGCACCATTTCTCAACTTAATCGAACGAAGGCCGTCAGGCGCTGGGCCCTGCTAGCTTGCCTCACCGTCTGCTGCCAACCAAAATCCGCAATAGCTCAGATAGCGTAGATGGCAGAGAATGTTTCCCACCTGTTTCGTACAAAAATATCTCCTAAGCTACTACTACGGGTCCCGTTACTGCTGCTACTGTTGACAAAAACGTAGATGACAGGACAGAAATCAGAAATGTTTCTCTGACTCTTATTTCGATCTCCAATAGCAACTTGCGCATAGAATAAATGCAGTCGCTGCCTTTTTAGTCCTGTCCTAGTTCCATCTACCTCTCCCTCGATATCCCCGAAACGAAAATAGAGAAGCGCCTCCTTCCTTATAAGCTGCGTTTACGCTTGAAATACTGAACACTAAAATTTTTAGTGGTAATCAAGATTCTAACGGTTGGAAGTTGACATTTCCATCAGTAGATCTATGAATACCACTAGATTGTCGCTTTAAAAGCAAAATTCTATACGCCTGCCTCGAAATGAGTAGAACATTGATTGTGCGCCTACCTGCACTCAACGGCGCTCACAGAGTTTCTGTTTATTGAAATCGTCTACCTGTTCGCACACCCTTTCGCGTTTTGGTGTGGTCCCACGTGAGTGCCACGTTTCCGCGTATAGTAGCTTTCTGTGCGGCGGCACCTTCTCTGCTGATATCGAGCAGGTGTAGCTGCTGTTCTTATAGCTGCTTTCTTTTTTTGCTACTTTGCCATTCGTGCTGATGACGCTCTAAACTTCTTTTCTCGTTTGTTGACGGGTGCGCTCTGTCTGTCCGTGTCACTAAAGACCGGATTTTCTTTTGTGTTTTACTAAAAGTTACCTTCTTCTTTCTGCCTTGCTATGCTGCAGCCCTTTGCTGTTGTAACCCTTTGCTGTTACCTTCCCTTTCATCTTATCGTTGCGCCTTGGGGGCAAAAATGGACCCTGCTTGCTTAAAGAAACACCTAGCCTTTTTTGTTGTCCTATTTTTTTTTATCTGCGGCTGTAGCGATAAGGGACTGCCGTTTCTTTTCCGGACATTTCGGGATATGAGTCAGGTTTAAAGGCAGTTTCAAAACAGTACTGGACTAAGTGTTAATGTGTAGAGTCACGCCTTTCTGTGCACTTATTCGGATAAAACGTGAGAGTCATAAAGAATAGCTTAGAACAGCATTTAGACAGACTGGGCAAATTGGGATCTTAAAGGCTTAGCACGTGTTGAGCGAAATCCTATCTTTCCGACCGAAGTTCCTTGTGTCGAATCAGTAAAGGAAATCAATCTACAGTAAGAGCAAACGTGCTGCAGTCGCTGACCGGCGGACCGCTCCGTGGAATTACTCCCCGGAGTTCTAAGCAATTGAAAGGGTCGACATGTTTTCCTTTGGCCGTCGCAGCCTTCCAGTCGAATTGGTTAATACTGCAACAGCCAATTTGATTAAATAAAGCCCATTTGGGTTGCTTGTTGTACTGTTCGCAAATTCTGAAAGGCGACCATTCTCGGTCGCATGAACGATCGGAACTCCCGAGCGACTTAGTGCTTTTGGTTCGGCTTAGGTAAAATCCTTCCATTGCCACGAACTGCCTTATTCTACAACGCTGATACAAAAGTATCGACCAGCTGGCTTTTCTAGTTAACTTAGTAAGCTGCTCTGCTTTTGTGCAACGTTTGATTACGCTACGAGTTTTTTGGTCATCTGCTTTTCTCAACTGTCATCAGAACAAGTCGTTATTCAAGGTTCGACGAATATTTTTTCCAGCTTCAAATTTGAATTATATTCACTTAATAGAAATGTTTGTATTTTTTGTAGATTTTAACAAAATATAGAAAGGATTTTTTTTTCTGGCAAACGTCAAGAAATTTCAAGCGTAGAGCGTGTGATTCAGAAGTCGCCTAAATTTTTGGATACTACAGTTATGTGCATCCTGATTTCTTATCAAAGTAGTTTAAAAGGTGCGCCCATTGAACATGGCCTTTGTCCTATGTTTACTTCGAGACTTAGAGGTAACTTATACTGCAGAATTACCATTCACGCAAATGTCGCATCTCTACTACCACAAATAGCTCTTGTGAGGCCTCGTTTCCCTCATGGGATGTCACGAAT